GCTGGGGTAAAAATGGTGAAAAATGAGTGGAAAAACAAACGGACAGCCGGTGGCCGGTGGCTTTCATTCCATAAAAGCGGAAATAATGGCTTAAGTTTTGGTTACGCTTTTCGCTTGCGTTATAAATTACAATGATTGACGTTGCGTGTTGTGTGGGGGCCGCAGCCTTAATTATGCCTGAAATATGTCCCACTATTTATTTTGAGCGTTGAGCTGTGAATCGATGATATGTGAAAATATTTAACTTTGGACCTGCCGGGGCTTTTCTCGGAACTTATCCACGTGAATATGTGTGCCAGGAATCTGGGCTTTCAAACAGAATATACAGAAAAACCGAAGAGCAATTAGAAGGCATCAATGCAGCAGGCATTCCAGCCACAGTTTTTCTTTTCGTTTTTGTGGCAAGCCAATGGGTTGTGACACACATATTGCCATTGGTAATTGGAAAAGCAAATGTCAGGGAAAAAGTTGGCTTTAAGGGCTTTAAGGTGGCTGGAAAAAAGGGGGTAGAAAAGTAACTAAAAGCAATCAAAGAAATAGAAAGAAATGTGTAAAAAAACTATTTTAATTAAAATTTAAAAATATATAAATCAAACTTTTACATTTTTAAAATTTATTTACAAAATCAAACAATAATTACAATCCAATTCCAATTTCCTAGCAAAAACCCAGATAATTAATTCATAAAATCAAAAACCATTTGATGTTTATTTTGCTTTCCTGCAAATCTTGCTTAAATGGCATTTAATTTTGCTTACTAAGGCACAAAATTTAAGCTCTGGACAAACATTTCAGCCTGGACATTTGATAGCCTTGTCGATGGTTCCACAATCTCTCGTCGTCCTTATTTATTCAACTGCCAAATGCTTTGGCCTTGAGCTACCAAGCTCTCTCTCTGTCTCCATGTACATTTTCAAGTTTGCCTGACTGTCAAATCTTGAATCTCTCAAATGAATTTTCGGGGGACACACTTTTGACACAAATTATAATGTGTTGTAATTTGGTTTAATGTACGCACAGTGAAACCAAAGCCAATGGTCCTTTATTGCCTTCGCCAGCCCAAGGCTTCTACTACGGCTTTGGCATTGCTCATACGCAGCGTGAGCCATGGCCAGGGTCGATGTGAATGTCAATGCTGAACAGGGACAAAACTGAAAGCCACCAAGCTATGGTCTTAATATATTGTGCAGGAATATAGATTGGTTTTGATATTAAATGGAAAACTGCATTTTATACAATTAAAATTGCTTTGAAAAAGGGAATAACGAGGCAGAAATCAATAAGGAAAATTAGGAAAATAAATCATAAAATTATTTAAACCTTAATTTAGGACTTACAACCCTATAAACTATCATTACCAACAAGCACTGTACTATTTTTAAGCATCGTAGCAGTTTCTCATTTCATAGAAAATAAATCGAAGGACATGCTGAAGGATCTGCAGTATCTTTACCCTGACATCAGGCATGTGTTTCCGGCTTTCACTTTGCATGCTGCATAAAAATCCTGCCTCGTATTTCAATCCTAGACTGAACTGAGAACTGAGTATGACTGAGATACTGATACACTGAGAGTTGTTAAACTACTCCAAGGCACGAGCGCATAATTGTCTGTCGCATTTATGGAAATCTCCCCTGGCAACGGCATGTGCCTCATATTTTTCATTTCCAACAGTTTCCTTTCCCCCGTCTCCGCTGGCCAGGTTTGTGTCTTATTTGTAAAACAGCAAAACGATTCAATTGTGCTAAGCATTGGTAAGCCGGTGAAATGCAACAAGAAGGCTTTCGAGACGAACAGCCTGTCCATCAGTCACCACTCAGGAGAGATTATACTGGGTTCGAGATAGAGGTTTACGCCGATGGTTAAAGGCATCGGCGGCGGCGTAGAGGTCAAAATGACTCGGCGGCGGCGGCGTAGTAGTCAGAAAGAACCGGCGGCGGCGGCGCGTCAAATAAGGCAAAAAGGCCATTTTAATGAGTTATTTTTTTTTTTTTTAAGTTTTATAAAGAACAATGACACTGAAGGCCGCGCTGAAGCTGCGCCGATGCCGCACCAGCGGCGCGCCGCGGCGCGCCGTTATTTTCATAATTTGGCGGCGGCGCGTCAAATAAGGCAAAAATCGGCGGCGGCGGCGGCGTGGCGCGGCGGCGTATATGTCTAGTTCGAGATCGAGGGTTTATAGAAGGGTATATAAGTTGTAAAGGTAGTTAAGAACTTGGAACATATTTACAGCAAACAATTTGAAATGGAAATAATTTTATATTACTTTCAAAAGTTGTTTATAAAAGTAAATCCATATTTATATCAACTGTTTATCATTTTTTTAAGTAACTATAATATATTAAATTTAAAATAAATAATATTAAATTATTAAAATAATGAATTCCTTCTTTTACAGGGTACTATTAAGTTGAATTCTTAAAAACAAACTGACCATTCCCTGGAGTCCGATAGAAACGGCAGTTACAGCAGGCTGGGGCAATCCATTCTCGGCAAATAATTGCGCCTTGTGACCCAGCTGATGATGCTATCTCCGAATGATTTATTTGGTGATAGCGTATAATTTAAACTTGCTCCTGCAAGTCCTGTCCAGGGGTTTCTTCCTGGACTTTTCAGCCTTCAAGAGAACGAACTTTAATTTGATTTAAGCAACTGTCAATGGCCCGAAGTGTTAGTTGTTCTTTGCTCACCGCAGTCGCCTTGATTAGCATATAAATCAAGTGGATTTGTTTTTATTATATATACATCTCTGCTCTTTTTATACTTCTCGGGGGCAGGCCCTCGTCTCGAGGTATTAATTAGGGAAAACAGGCGGAGGCCCCAGGGTTCGGGAAATTAACTTGGCCTTGTAAACTTAATAAAAAAGTTTCAGGCTTCGGTTCGTTTTTCTTTTCATTTTTTTTTTTTTGGGTCAGCGAAGAAGTGAGGAAAAGTTGAGCAAACTTTTCGCTTGAAATTTCATTTGTTACTGTTGCTCTCGATGTCTGGCGATTGGAATTCGTTTGTTGCCTTTTCCCACAGAGTTTTCCCCTCTGCAAAGTGCATTCATTCTATATACAGCCATCCATTAGTGTACATTTAAGTCCAATACTCGAATAAATTGAGACCTAGGCAAATGGAGAAAATCCCAAGCGTTTTCCACTTGAGCAAATTGAGTACACTCTTTAGGCATCGCCCACTTGCCCACCTGTTCTAAAACTCTTTCCCAGGTAAAAGCGGAAAAGCATAAACATTTTTGTAAAACCAATTTGGCCTGGGTACAGGCGGTCAGCATTTCAAAGGCTGTTTTCCCGGGCATTTTGTGCAGTAATTAACCGAAAATTGGTTTAAAAATGGTTGGAAAATTGTAGTTTCAATACAGCTTTCAGCATTTTAAAAGTCAACTAGAGTTATAAAAAGGGTATCTAAGTCACAATGGTTAGGTTGTATTGACTTTAAATTATTGCAAATGATTTTAAATGAATTTGATTAGATTTTACATTTTTTTAAAACAATTTTTAATGATTTATTCAATTTTAAAAGATTTTAAGTGCCTTCTAAAATTATTTTTAAAGATTTTAAAACCTTGAAAACCTGCTTAAGAGCTCATAAACTTATCTAAAAATAAACTCTCTTCTTTATAAAATCGCCTGATTTTGTTGACCTATACAAATACCCATATTTCTTTTGCTATTGACTTTAAAAATATTAAATAATAAACCCATCATTTTGCAAATATTTAACTATATCCATAAAACTTCCTCCTTTGCAAGCGGAAATTTCCCTTTGTCCATTGGTCGGGTGGAAAAGCGCCGAAAACTCGCTCGTTAGCTTTTGATTCTCCCCCGCAGGCAACTCCGCTACAAATTCAGCTCGTTTTTGCCAATTTGCGTTGCTTTTTTAAAGTCCGCGAATCCGGCGAGGCACGAAGAGGAAACAAGAGGGACTCCTCTTGACCGCCGGGCTCTCTCATAGAGCTCGAGAAATTCGTTAAGCTGCCAGAATATCAGCCGGGAGGGGTGATTTAATGAATTTATGTCAAGGTGCGGTGGAATCTGGTCCCGCTTTTCTGGCCTCAACTTTGGGACTCAGCTATTCCTAGTGTCGGATTTTGGGGGACGCTGCTTTAGGAAAGGCGACATGGCGTTGTCAACAATAAAGCCGAATGCCATTTTAATTGGCGCAGTGGGCACAAGACAGCTGACAGTTCAAATGTGCACTAGAAAAAATATATTTTAGAAAATATAATAATAAGGAATGTTTTAAAAATATTTAAATATAAATATATTTAATTTTTTGCTTTTAGATAAAGGAATTTCTAGTATAAAATTGATTTTCTGTTTTAAAAAAAAAACTCTTTGTTAATAATATAATATTTTTATATCTGTTCCGCAATGACAGGGCGAAAATTCGTCCCCAAACGAGAGAAGTGGCTCTCCAGGGAGGTTAGCCCTGGACTGGAGTGAGAAAAGCTCAGGCTGCAGGCCCGGAGAATGGGAAAAACTCTAGCTAAGGGTGGTCAGTGGTGGAAAACTCACCCGGTATTCGCCGCTTGACTTGACCTTCACTCATTGCGCACAATTAAAAGTTGTCCGCGACGTTTGCCACGCCACCGAACCGCAACTTGGTCCTTGCCTTTTCCCTCCTTTTTGGCCAAATAACAAATGTGCAAAGTTTAGTGAATTAAATGCGTCGCCGATGACATTGCCACGCGCTCTTAGGGAGGACTCCCTGGGCCCTGCCTCCAACTCTGAGCTGTTCCAGACACACCCGGGCCAAAAAGTTTCAATTGATTTGGACAGGCCACAGGCCAAAACTGCTGGAAACTAATCTAGTTCCAAGCCCATGGACATACTGCGGTGATTTTGTGCTATTCTGGGACTTCAGCTTACGGTGAAGAATGCATTTCTATTGGTGTCGAAACTTTCGATTTGAAAGTCAATTAGTTTCTTATTTGAGAAACAAATATATTGAAAGCCTCTTTTTTTTGATAATTATAACCGCGTACGAGATGCATTATATATTCTTCATCAGCTTCCTCCCACAACCCTCAATATAAGTATTTCAAGAAGACTGCAATGCTGCAAATTCTTCTGGGGGAGGAAACTTCGTTAAGCTCCTTGTGGCTCCCAATGCACATGACACTCCTGCTAATTGAGCCATAAATAAGAGAGAGGCTTTATTTCGTTTTCCTACATACTGGTTAGGTTCCTTTTGTTGGTATCCTCTGCTAAGAGGCTCTAAGTAAAGCTACTACTGGATATCCCACTGCATTTCCTCTATGGGACTCTCCTTCGGGACGATCTTGAATAATTCATTCATGCGCTGGCGGTAAGGTTCCAGTTCCTTCATCGTCTTCTTAAGCTGGGCACTCAGTGCCGGAGGGAGACTGTCCTGCAAGTGCGAGATCAGGTTGTCCTGGATGACCAGCAATTCGGCGCTGTTCGGTCCTCCCAACTCCCCAGTGATATACAGGATGGTTTGAAGAGCCTGAACCAAATCTCTGGTGGCAGGCGAAGTTAGCACTAGAGATTTATGCCTCTCGGCCAACTGGAGATCCATCTCGGCCCGGTGGCAACACTTGGCGTAGATCTCGAGGGCGCTGCGTTCCATAGCCTCCATTTCCTCCTGCTCCTTGCGGAATTGAGCCAAGTGCTCGTGAAGGACAGTCATGGGTGCCATGATGTCGGCATTCACACGATACAGAGTAGCAAAGCAGAGTTGCAACGTTGTCTTGGAGCCGCCAGAGTTCTTGGAGCCCTTGGAACTTTTACAGCTCTTGGAGTCGTTGCCGCTCTCAAACTCCTCGTTTTTGGAGGCAATCTCCAGTAGAGCCTTCTTCTTCTTGGCTAACAGTCTCTTCACCAACACTATGGACTCTAGAAGCTTGCTGCTGTATTCATACCGCTCCTTGGACTGCTGCGCCTGTGGCACACTGGGGCCATACTCCTTGAGCTCTAGTTCAATGAAGGACGGCGAATAACGGCGAGCCTTGCCCAAACTTCGGCGGAGCAGCTGCCATCCGCGGCGCGGCAAGAAGCTAGTCTTCAACTCCGGATAGTACTCGCGCGAGAAGCTGCCCAGGTCGTAGGCTCCACGCAGGATGGGAGCATTCATAAAGGAGTCCCCGAACTCGTGCCAGATCCAGCGGTGTGATGAGGCCATCATAAGGAAGTTCATCAGCCTGCCAGGTTGGGGTAGTAATATAGTAATATAGTATTTTAGATTTTATTATTAAATATTTACATATTACAAACCTCTGGGCAATGAGTGTAGAGTTGGGTCCTTCCAGGTCATTGGTCACCCAATTCTCACCGCCTTCCTCCTCCATTTCCTGGTCTTCGGAAAGGTTTTTCTTTGTGAAATGTGGACGCTTTACGAACAACTCGTCATCTGTGGAACATGCCACCAGCTTCTTAGGTTCCTTGAAACGGCGGTTACGGGTCTCAGTCACCCTGTGCAAGCCAACGTTTGCCAAGGTAGGAGGTGTTGAATTCATTTCATTTTCCATTTTTCGTCGTTAAATAGTTAGTTTTTCTCGACAGGTTTCGTTGACAGATTGTGAAAGATTTCTACTTAGGTATTTTTTAAAAGGGTTACACTGACTATCAGGGTTGCTTTTCCATTAAATATTTTACTTAGTAGGGAGGGAGACACTGATTACTGTAAAGATAAAATATTTCATCCCTAATTAAACATGAATCTGGCTTTCGGAGAGGCGGCTGCCAGTTGCTAAACCTAAACAAGTACAGTCTTCTCCAAATGGCTAAAGTCCATTGACACGATTGTCTACAGTGGCGATGGAGTCCTGTGGCATTACGATAAACCCATAGAAGGCGCTACTGCTACCTTTTCACGGATGCACACTGACATCCAGTTTGGCTACAACTGCGGCATTCAAACTCTGCTAGTCGGCACAGGAGTTAGCAGTTACCAGGAGGCCATGGCAGCTCACGGTTCCAAAGATCAATTGATGTATTAACAAGTTTCAGATATGTATGTTCCCGAGTTGTCCAATCTGTTGCCGTTTTTGACCTCTAAAAATAGATAAGATGTCTTATTTAGGGATTAATTAAATTAATTAAATTAAGAAATACTTTTCAAAAGTTGAATTCGATGTTGCTCCTTAAACTATCGAGGCAACCTGTGATTTTTATTTTAAACACAATAAATCCAATTCACTGACTTATCGTAGCCGCTTCTGAAACCAGAATCCTTCATTTATATTCCCGCAAACATATATATCACGCCCCAACATGGACGATAACGAGGACGATCTAGAAGAGCATCCCGAGGGTATGCTCACCGACGGCAGTGTGGAGGAGGAGGAGGATGAGGGCGGCGATCAGGAGCCCGTAGGACCGATCGAAAGTTGGGAGTCCTTCAACGAGCGTGTCGAGGGCCTAATCTTCAACGAGCACTGCGACAAGACAGTGCGAAAGCTGGACGATCGCCGGTTGGATATCCTCAACCGAGTGCGTCAGCAGTTCCGCGAAGCACCCAAGGGTGTGGCCGAACGATGCAAGGCCCAAAAGTCGCCCATTGACCAGCAGCTGGAACTGTCCAGCGAGCGTCTGGACGAGCTGGTGCGCTTCGGCAACGAGCTGGTGACCAATGTCCGGGTGGCCAACGAGCGCCGCGAACTCAATCGCCGGATGTTTGAGGCGGGGCAGCGGGGCCACATGCAGATAAAGCTGCAGCGCGAGACCATAGAGACTCTGGCTCGCTTTAGTGATGTCAAATCGCGCTGGACGGAGCTGGAAGAGTACACCGAACCGATGGTGCTGTGGGACCAGATCGAGGAGCAGAAGCGAAACGTAGCAGAGATCATGGCTCACAAAGATGAAATAATTGCGGCCTGCCAGAAGGAGGTGGACCGGATGAATGCCAAGTACGATTTTGATAGGCAGGCGCAGGCACAGGATCTGGCCTGCCTCGTGGAGCGGGTGGAGCACCAGGTGGAGACCCTGAAGCAGGCCTACAAGCAGCACCTGGAGATGCTGAGCAACACCATCGAGGAGGAGCGCCAGATCTTTGCCATGGGCGCGGAGGAGAAGTGGCGCTCCTATTTCAATGCCATGAACATGAACTTGGTGGAGAAAACGAACTTTGTGCGGGCCCGAGAGCTGTTTTATGCCGCCCAGACCCAGCAGATTAACGAGTCCCAGGAGGAGCTGACCAAGAGTACACGCATCCGGCTGGAGAAGGAGTGCGAGCGGCTGGAGCTGGAACTGCGCAGGGCTCGGGATTATGCTTTGATGAACTCCGAGAAGCTGGACTACAACTACCAGGTGCTGCAGAAGCGAAACGAGGAGAATGTGGTGATCAACAATCAGCAAAAGCGACGCGTGGCCCGCCTCCACGAGATCATTGCTCGGACTAGGCAGTCCTTAAAGAACCTCATCGAGTCTGGCCAGCGGAATATATCGAAGTTATCCATGGAAATCTACAAGCTGCATGCCCACATCAACGACATGGAATCAAAGGCTCTGCATGCGCGGCTCAATAATCGAGATAAGTTCGATCGCATCTGGGAGATCAACTATAAGGAGCTGAATCTCCTGGTGGATCGTGTCTACCACATTGATCGCATTATTCATGAGCAGCAGCTGTTCCTGCCCTGGACTTGCCCCGTTCCCCCAATACCAAACATCAACAAGGCCAAGAGGAAGCGCCAAAATATCCTGGAGAAGTTTGACATGCGCATTGGCCGGGTGCCCAAGAATCGAGTGGTGAATAGAGCCTCTGGTGGCGGCAAGCAACGTCCAGATATCAAGGAACTTCCACCGGATTCATTGCGTCTGATGCGTAACCTAATGCGGAAGCTATCCGATCGTGGTGGCTTTCTCATCGAGGAGCGTCTGCTAAAGATTTTGGAGCCCTACTCCGAGGAGGACAATTGTCTGGTACGCATCGACAATATATTTGCGGCCCTGCGCATTCGACATCTGCGGGATGTCAAGGAGCTGACCAAGGTTTTTATGCCCTACACCTACTGTCCCACCTGCCAGCCCCAGGGTCTAAGTCCACGCAAGTGTGCCGAGGTGTTTATGAAGGACACAAAGCCCCACAAGCTGGGCAGCGGCCGCAAGTCCTCGGTCTTACCGGATAAGTTCCTTATCAAGCGCGACGATGTGGTCAAAAAGTGCAACAACCACTATTTGGTCATGGAGCCCGCTCTCTGTCTGCACGCCATGAATCTGTTTACCTCCAAGATGCACAAGCAGATGTACGAGCATGTGCCCGGCGCCACCATGAATGCGGTGAATCTCATCGAGATCACGGACAACCAAATTCGTAACTTTTGGCGTCAGTTTGCAGCCTGCTTTCCGCCTGCCAAGTGCAAGCTTTGGAAGACTCTGGAGCATGGCTTGAATCACTACGTGGAGGTGCTCAAGCAGCGGGTGCAGAACGATAAGGAGGTGGTTTTCCTGCGGCGCCAGAATGAGGAGCTGCGTCATCTGCTACAGAAGTTTACTGTCTAATCATACGAAATATTGTAAATGTAAAATTTTATTTGTGGTTTAGTATAGAATTCTTGAAAATCTTTAGGGAACCTATATTGAAAATTATAATTTTATGTTTAAGAGGTTAATTTATTTTTAATTAATATTATTATTATATGGTTGAGATAATTTCAAGATAAAAGTACTGTAGTCATGGCTAGATTGAAGCGGCTGTTGATGTTAATTGATTATATTAATAACTATTCAAAACTAGAAACAGTTCAGTGTTTTGCAGTAAAGAACTAACGACACGGAAAGGCTTTTGAGGAGATTCTAAGAGTGGGTTTTGAAAGGGTGTTAAGGCAGTTTTAAGGTGGTTTTTGACTAGATTTTATTTCCTTTTATAGGAAACTCCTAGATTTCGGTCTAGATTCCATTCATCTTTAAGCCAAATTCCTGTAAAAATTTGTTTATTTAAAAAACATAAAACAATCCAATATAAAGATTCTATTCTCATTAGCGATGTTCAAACAAAGTTTTTCAGATTTGACCAAGCTGCCCAAGGAGAAAGTCCTTGAATGGCTACCTTCCATAAAATCGGTGATCTGCGATGCTGACGGAGTGCTTTGGCATTCAAAAGATGCCATTGAGGGCGCGGTGGACACCTTCAACCTGCTGAGCGATTCGGGTCGAAAGACATTCATTGTGACCAATAATGCGGCACTCTCGATAGCGGATTTTCAAAAAAAGGCCTCCAATTTGGGCATGAATATAGATGAAGATCGAATTCTGTCCTCGTCGTACTCCTGTGCCCATTTTCTGGCCACCAAAAAGTTCCAAAAGAAGGTGTTCTACATGGGAGAACTCGGGATTCAGTACGAGATGGAGAAGGTGGGTTTGTGCTGCTTCAGAGTGAACGAGAAGATGGACAGGCCGATATTGGAGTTTGTCAAGGACTTAAAGCCTGATCCCGATGTGGGGGCTGTTGTGGTAGGCCGGGATGAGTGCTTTAACATGGCCAAGGTGATGCGCGTCGGCTCCTATCTACAGAATCCTCAGGTGATCTTTTTGGGCACTTCTTTGGACGCAGCCTATCCCATTGGTGACAACCGGGTAATGGTAGGATCTGGTGCCATGTTGGCAGCAATTAAGACCTTCACTGGACGGTCACCATTGGTGCTGGGAAAACCCAATCCATGGATGGTGGCCCAGCTGACGCAGAAGGGTCTCATCGAGCCAGAGAGTACGCTGATGGTGGGCGATACGTGAGTATCTGTATTTTTATTAATATCCTAATCCTTGTTAATTATTTATTATTATTGAACTCTTTTCCATCCAGCCTCGAGACGGACATTCTCTTCGCCAAGAACTGCGGTTTCCAGTCCCTACTGGTGGGCACTGGGGTCAACAGCCGGAAGGATGTGGCCAAGATCGTTGATGAGGGTGACCCCCAGAAAATGGACCAAGTGCCGGATACGTATCTGCCCAGTTTTGGCCACTTGCGGGAGTTCCTTTGCTAGGGTCACAGCAGCCTGTGGCCGCATACAAATTGTAAATTAGCATTTGCTTGCTCGATTCCTGCATAAAATCAATACCACAAAAGCGGCCTGCTTTCCAGTGTCAGCCACAACACAAATCTGGCGGCATTGTAGGGTTTCGTTCCCTTGTCAAACGTTGAACACTTGCAGTCCCCACAGCAATGTCAGAGGCGGTGGACGCCACGGACTCGACACTTCATCGCCATCAGCGCTAAGAGTGACCGACGGATGCGGTCTGGGATGGTGGGTTCGACTGCTTTTTGTCCCCCAGCACTGGAAACAAACTTATATCTAATCCTGATAATATACATTTTAAATTGATTGGTTTTTTCTTAAATTAATTCATAAAATCTTTAGGGTAGAGTTTAATAATAGATCTTAGACGAAAATATTTCATAGCATACTTTTAGATGTCTAATTTATTGGTGAGTTGTTGAATTTTGTATTGGTTTTTAGTTACCTAGAGAAATGTTAATGAAATTTATAGCCTTAACTAACAATTAATATTATTTAGAACCCAAATGCAGCCTTGTTTCATATAAAATTTTCCCCAGTGCATCCTTCCAAAACAGGCAATTCGAATGGCTGCCATGGACACTCCTCTGATGTGTTTAAAACGGTTTTTGCGCCGCCAGACATTTGTTGAGGGGCATAAAAAAAAGATGGGCCACAAAACGTGTGGCATACTTAGCGGCGTCACCAAGTGTGTTTCTGTTTTCGCAAGCTGTTTTCCTTTTTTTTTTCTTTCGGCCCGTATCCTGTGTCCTATGTCCTGCTTCGGGGTCGCGAGAGGTGTCAGGTCAGCATGTATCGAAGTTATTGAATGTCACAATTTGTAAATATTGTCTATTTATATTCGCCTATTTGTGTTTGTTTTTGTGTTTTCAGCTGTCCTCTGGAGAGTCAATGGGAAAATAATGTGCGAATCGAGTGGGTTTGCCACATTGTATTTTCAATGGTGTATTTTTGTTCTGTTCTGTTCCTTTTGATAATTTCCACACTCTGTTTTTCTAGTATTTAATGCTCGGGTTGCGGCGAGCCTCTTTTTATTTATATATGATTTTTGGGTACTTTGGCTGTCCATTAGGACTGCAGTAAAAGGTGTCGTAAAAGTTAAGTATGGGAATTTAAAAGGCATGTCTAAAAACCAAGAATAAAAATATAAATTTGGAGGAAGGGTATCAGCTTTAAATTTTAAATTTAGGGATATTTTTAAATACGTTTATTTAAATACTTTTCCGGTTTGATAGTCTGTAAAACATATTTCCTTCAATTTTTTGTAAATTAAATTTGTTTGTATGATTATTATTAACTATTTTCCCGAATTCTCATTTATTAAGTCTGTAATTTATATTCGATTGTTATTATATGTTGTTTGTTTCTTTAATTGAGGTTAGGAAATAGTGATCCTTATTTACAATGAGCACCATTTGTTGTCTGTTTGCAGCATCTGCCCTTCCAATTGTCAACTATCCTGTGCGGGAATGAGATTGCGTTGCCCAGAAATTACGCGGCGTTCAAAACTAATTATGCGAGTGAACGAGTGTTGGGTTACATACAAAATACACATAGAAAATATATTTATAAATTTGTATTTGTTAATTTTAAAATTTTTTATTATTATAAGAGGCCTTTAATTAATACTGTTTTTGCTTTTGTGATATAATGAAAATATCCACGAAATGCAAGTCCTTTTCAATGAAAACAATTAAGGAAAAAAAATAAGGTTATAACCAATTAATTAATAGCATTTTAATAAGAACAATTCAATAATTAAATAAGAATTTAATAATAAGTACATTTATTTTCTTTCCCCATTTTCTCACAGTCTAAAAGTGCGAAAGCGGAAGCAAAAAAAAAGCTAGAAATGAGCTCGAAATTTCCGTGGTTGGGTTCACTTCACCCTAGTGTTCCCTTCAGATCTCGAGTGTGGATAGCTGTCAGGCTCCGCCGCCGGCTCCCTCCGTCATTGTCATTGTCATTGCCGGGATAAAGTAGGGCCTGGGGAATTTAGTTGTGTATTAAATGGAGAACAAGTGCTCCTTGTTACGCAGCACAATGCCTTGGCCCGATGTTTGGCATTGTTTGCCATTGTCCTGCTGAGCGGAGAAAACTTTTCGAAACTTGGTGAATTCCGGCGAATCACATGGCCAACATTAATTAAATTTTTGACGCTACACATAGCTTCGATGCGTTGGACAAAGGCAACTAATTAATTAGCAAAATAGAATGACAGGGTCGCTGCCAGTTTGTCATCGATGCGCGGGACTCTCTCTCTTAGTTGTCGCCAAAAAACTGCTGTCATTTGTCAAGGGACTCTCACTCACTCACTCAATCCAAGGCCCATCAACACTTGAGGGCAACCAGAGAATAACGATAATCCTTGAGGCATCAAAAACGCATCAAACAGTTAGGGCGGCGGCGGCGGCGGTGACACCAACAAAGTCATCAGTAAAATATTTACCCAATGTTGGCGATTTTCCTTGCTGTTGACATTATCCGTTGCTGATTTATTATCACCCGGCCGAGTGTCGGTGTCGGTGTCGAGAAAAAGGAACAATAGAGTGTCCTCTCCCACCCAGCTTAGGATCTTAGCTTTTGTTTTTCGGCACCTCCTCAACAGAAGATTCAAATCGCTGAGTCCAAGGCATTAAAGTATTTCATGAGGTTGGCCAGGCAGCTCTGATATGTCTACCTCTAATTAAGTGCTTACCTGTGTTGTTGAGGAAGTTATTTAGGTTTGAATAATAGCAGTGGTTTTTAGTAGCTTGGGAGATTTATTTTGAATATTTAGAATATAACCTGAAAATGTTTCTCTTTCTATTGATTCTATTTTAAAAAAATATAAAATCATATTTTTATTAGTTTATTTATTTTTTAAAATATAAAAAGTATTCATAATTAACCTTTAACAAGTAGTTACCTTTAGGATAATTATTTCCCATTCAGTTTATTAATTTATTAGCTTAATAACTGACTACTTTTTCCAATTAGCAATCCCTGGTTTCAATTAAATAATATATGTATTTTAGCACTACTCCCACACAAATACACACATTTTTGTGTGCGTCACAGTTTCAGGAAACACGCAATAATATTCCAGTTTTAATGGGTTGTTGCTTTTGGTTGGCTCCCTCTTTGTTCCAATTATTTGAAGCTATCTGAAATCTGTATATCCCCATTATTAGGTTAGGGCTCACGTGCGGACGGTAATTCACTTCGGCAGGTTTCCACCTGGGCGAGAGTATCCTGGCCACCTTTACATCCTTAAGGTTGCCCCTCCAAACCTTTAAGCAACCCCACAGCACGCACACACTCTCACCCACTCCCCGGGTCTGTCGTGTGTGTTTGTATCTTATTGTTATGGTTATTATTATTTAAATTCCTTTGTGGGTCGGGTCCCGGGCATTATTACCGGCTTCTCGACTGTCTTGACTAAAGTCGACATCCTGCCAACGTGCTTAGCATAAGATACGCAAATGCGCAAGGACCTTTCGCACCTCCCACGCTGGCACACTAAAAAAAAATGCATTTTATGACCTAAATAAATTAGTTGAAGGAAAGGAAAAGTTTAAAACTGTATACATAGAGTTGAAATATTTTTAAAAATAAAGAAAGCAAAGAGTACTTTGTCTTAAAATAATAAATAAAAATATTTCAAGAGCCCAAAGCAAGCTTAAAATTCCACCTACAATAAAAACTTAAAAACAAACCTTTAAAAAAATTAAGTAAAATTATTTTAAGCTTATTAAGATCCTTTTTTTTCCCAGTGCTCTTGTTGAAAATACGGTTTAGATTTTCCTCAACCGAGATTTCAAGCATCGGACTGACACTGCGTTGGCAATTATCCGACAGGATCCGGCCGAGAGATAGAGGTTTTCCCAAATTGAATTGCAAGTGGCCAAGTTAAGTGCTCGTTATCATTTTCCAAACTGCGTCTGGCTAGTAAACTTTGGCTATTATGGCCCAGGCCCCGTAATGGTAATTGGTTGTGGCGCAAAATAAACAAAAAAAAAATCTGAAAATCGATGCAAATCAAGCTTGGAAAATGTGTTAAATTATTTGCACATTAGGGTATAATTTTGTATATATTTAAAATCCATTTACATTTCTCATCATCATTATTTATTTGCACAATCGTTGAATTTATTTATTAATTAGTTTCGATTACGTATTCTCTAAGATCTATACAGTTTTTAAAGCTATACTAAATCTAAATTAAATTTATTTTAAATATTTAAATTTGATAGGAAATGAGGATTCTAAATCAATGATTTAAAGGTGTAGATTTTTTTTTAATGAGTATTTAATTTTGTAAATAATATAAAGACAATATAAAGAACTCCAAGAAGGCAAGTCTAACAATTCTTTCAAATATTTGAAATAAAATAAAATTTAAAATAATTTTTTAAAGTGGGTACAATATTTTTTCATAATTTATTTTTCAATCCTTTTATATTTGCTTTCTTTTTATATTAAAAAAAATATTTTTTATAACCTTTAAACATTGATTTACAATCCCCATTGCCTGGACTTTCAGTAATCTCAATTGAACTCTACATTATCTTTGGGATTCGTTTATGCTTTGCATACAGGCTAGTTCAGAAATATTTACAAAAAACACTTAAATGTATTTACAGAATAGCGGAGGATTATTTTTTACTTTCGGGGAAGAGGAACACCTGAAAATGTCTTTTTCCTTTGTTGGTATTATCATTATTATGTATTTTATTGGCTGCAGTGGCTGTTAAATTGAGCTACTTGAGTTGAGGGCGACTAAATAATGCTGGCAAACTTTTGAGCTGACTGAACTTTGAGCGGCATTTTAAAAACTTTCTGACAAGTTGACAGATTGTTCGGCCTTCTTATTCTTTTTCTTTTCATTTCTTTTGCGAACCCAAAAAAGCCCCAGTTTCCGGGAGGAGAAAGAGAGAGATATTGAAAAGTTGCTGGGAAATCAGCAAAAGAAGAGGAAAATCATTCATCAAGTTCGGGTGCCAGCGAAGAAATGCTTTGTAAAGGATATTTAATTAAAGGCCAGCAAAGTTCACGCTAATAAATAAAACTTTTGGCCCAAAGGCCAGTGGAAAGTGAAACGATATTGGTTGCAGAATAAAAGTTTCGCTGACTAATTTACTGCGAAATGGATACAAATTCAATTGAAACTCTTTTTTTTTTGAAGAGGCAATCTATGGGTTCAAGAAACTAGTTATCTTCAGCCTGATTTAATCGTTAAAGAAGTTGACTTTCTTTTCTTAACAGCTATATCAACGAGTAAAGTTTTATTTTTCAAGGAGTAGTAGAGAAGTTTTTGTAAGGGAAGGAAACACTTAACGCTTATCACAAAGTAACGCAACGCTTGGAGCGTTTAGTTGATGCCTTCTGTACAGGTTAATATGGCTACAAAGGTGGTCAAAATAGTAGTAGGAAAAAGACTCTTTTTATTTTCAATTCCCAACTATTATTTCCACCTCCCCTGTATACCACAGTCCATTTGCGGGAACTCTTTTTATTGTTTTATATATTTACATGACTAGACTAGACTAACCCCTCCCAGTGCCGCATCGCCTCCGCTTGTCCCCTAGCCAACCCCTGCCCTCAGAATCCCGAGGAGACATGACCCAGCTTCTTGCTGTCCGGTAATGTCCAATCATAACCGATGGAGGTGTTATTATTGGTGGCCGAATTTGCATTCGTGGAGACTGATCTCTGCATTTCGCGGGCGGGAAAATACACCACCGGCCCCGGCGATGGAGCTCTATTCCTTTTGATCTTCACAAGACCCGGCGAACCAGAGACCTGGGTAAGACGGACATTATTAAGGGAATTACTGCCACCACCGCAATTGCCGGGGCCGCCGCCTTGTCCGCCGCCACCTCCGCCGGTGGCCACCAGGTACGTGGTTGTGGTGCTCCGCTGTGTGCCGTGCCTCGAGAAGCGGCCGGAAGAGCGGTGATTCAGCGTCCCATCGCCGTTGTTCGATATGGAGCTCTCGTAGTGGATAAGATCCGGTTGGTCACGACTCAGGCGGCGCTTGAAAAAAATGAGTAAAAAAATGCGCTTGAACTTTTCCCCGAAGATGATGTAGATCAAGAAGTTGACGCTGCTATTGATGGTGATCATCAGGTTCGAGATCTTGGTGATGTTATGATCTATCGTGCTGTAGAATGCCTCCAGGGTATTCAAAACCAAAGGCAGAAAGTTCAGCATGAAGAAGACTATCACCACGCACAGCAGCATGGTGGCTAGACCGATTTCCCTTCTCTCCGATCTCGACAGTCTCTGGCGCTCCCTATTCGCCCTCTTCACCTGCCTGTATATCAAACAGTTTAGGATGGCCAGGGTGAGGAAGGGTATTATATAGCTCACAATGAGGTAGCACCAGTGAATGTATATATTGATGTACGCCTCTGATCTCCTCATTTTCGAGGGTATCACACAGTGGAATACCACATTTGTGGCCGGATCTGTATAGCTTATGGTAACCACCTCCCAAAATCGTATCATATTATAGGCCACGGCAAAGCACACGCACACAATGAAGTATATCTTGGCACGGCCATAGGTACAAAGAGCCCTCGCCTTTAAGGGATGACACACGGCCACATAGCGCTCCAGAGTCACAGTAAAGGTCATATATATGCTGGCTGTCTGGGCAATCAGTCCAATGGGAAATACCGCTGGCGCTATAAACGGATATATGTTGTTGTAGTAGAAGAAAGTGTACCCTGTATAGGGATATATGGCGGGTATACCAAACACCAGCATCGATGTCAAAATGAGCAGGGTATCGCAGCGGGCGAGGCCAATCAGCAGATAGTTAATACTCGATCTCATCTGGGGTCTCGAGAGGATTATCATGGATATGATATTCCCCAGGATGCCGAGAACACTAACTATATTTAGGATAACGCCGCACACCCAAAACTCTATCTTGTTGTCCTCCAACATGGGATTGTACCGATCATCGCAGATTCGCGTCCAATTCGGATCCATGTCCAGGCCCATGTCATCGTAGTGGGGATACGGCAGATCGGGATGTGTGTAGTTGTAAAAGTGTTCGCCGGATACCGAGTGATTCTGCTGGGGCAGGAGTTCGTAACGCACAGTGGCCACCTCGGTGGCCGTGGCGCTGGCCAGGAAGTCACTTTCGCTGATGGGCCCCCAGTCATAGTCCGTGGGCGGCGGTGGCATCACACCCGGCGAGGGTAGCTCCAGGCGGAGCAGCAGCCGTGCCGCTGCACTCATCCTTGCTGAGTGCTGGGATCTAGTGAGGCAATCCTGGCTCTGTTCCTGCTCTCACGCCCACTCGCAGGATCCTTATTCGCAATGGTCGAGTCCTTGGCGTAACATTTGAGCAGCTGCCGGCAAACTTTCGCACGGACATCAATTCTGCGGTGCTTACTGTCGGTCCTGGCCTCTCCTCTCCCCTCTTTGGTCACGGGTCAGGAGGTCACAAGCACCTGTTCTCCGACTGTGTCCTTTGTCCTGGCTTTTGGCCGGCGTCGTCGACACTTTAAGCTGCAAAATAGGAAATGAAAAATGGTAGGGTCGTTTAGTCCAAGGATGTTTTTGCGGAGAATGCACAGGGAAAAAATTGGAAGGTAAATTGTAACAAAGGTATTATTTTGTGTAGATAAAATATGGAATATAATATTGTATATATTTTAATTTAATTTATTATTTAATAATTATTTTAAATAAATATTTAGATAAATAAAATAATCTAAATATTAAATATTAAATTATAAAAAAAAATATTTATAACCTTTTACCCTTTTCTAGATAATAATTGCATGATTAAATATTCTGTTTAAATAGTTTTCTCTGTAACTAAGGTTTTATCGATTAAAAACAAGAAATTTGTAGGGCTTTTCGGCCTCTACTCCCTACTTTCTTGCCAGTAGGTGTGGCAATAAGTAAAATATATACAAGTAAGACATATATATGCAGAGTCTTTCCATTCTGTTGGCATTATAAATACATTTTTGGTGTCAATTGCTCCCTGGCTTCGTGTTGTTAGAGCAAAAGGAAACCTAATTGATGCCCTCTTCTTGCAGGTGAATTTGTAACAATTAGTTCTATAATTAGGACAAGGTTATAACGTTTCAAATGATTTGCCGCCCCATTTCTTAGAATTTTCCCTGCCCTTAGCTGAAATTTAATTTGCTTGGAAAATTAACTATTCCCAGAAAATGAGTAAGGATGAGCGCGTTTAGAGTATTCTCTTACAGTTTGTAGAAAAAGGACTTCTAGGGAGTAGATGGTCAAAGGGAAGCTAAATTGAATTTCTAGTTAACTAATTAAGCATTTAATAGAAATTGTAGTTTAAAATAATATTAAATATTAAAATTACACAAAATTGAGTGATAAATGGGAAAGCCAAGTTAAAACCTGCTCATCTTGCTTTCACTCTTAAAAAATAGTAAAAAAACACCTATTAAATCGCACTTGTTAATTAATTTACGATAAAACAATCCAATTTTCTCCTAGCAACCATATAATCAGCCCTTGACAACACTTTAGTTTTGCCCCGATATCTTTTTGTATCAGTTCATATAGTAATTATCTGGCTATCAACGCACAATCAACTCTTCCTATCAGGCTCCCTCTATCTTAACTATATATTATATGACCCTGTGTTAACATTAACACCGAATAAAGCCACAACGTGTGTAATCTCCATTATAAATACAAACTAAAACTAACAGCAAATTAGTAGAAAACATTTTGCGTGTCCGGTGAAAGGATTGTCCCGGCTAATTGCCATTGAAAGTGGATTGGCTGAGTAGAGAGTTCCAATTTCTATTGGCCATTATTCCTTAATGAAGGTCCTGTGTTTGTCACCCTCTAATGATTTAATTCACTTTATTTGTCTGGCAACAAGTGTGTAGGCACTAAATCATTTAAGGGTTTGACTGGAATCGTACTAAATATGTCGTTGCCACGTGTAAATGTCACGAATTCTCACACCTCCCAACCCCTGAGCATTAAATGTCACTTTTTTAAAACATCAATCAGGCTTAAGTGGCCAAAAAAAAAACAAATATATATATATATTGGATAAAGCCACACCTCCGGCGATTTTGTGGGCCAAACAGAGAGACACACACAAAGTGAATGAGGCCAAAATGCGATAGCTCATCAAGTGGCCAAGAAAATCAGGAAACATGAAAGCAGATAAATTATTGTATTTGTTACTTGAAGGGCACTGAGAAAAATAACTTCAAATAACTTGTAATATTAAGTAAAAAGGGGACAAAGTGTGTTTAATGAAATAATATTTTAAGTAATTTATTTTTAGAGCTATTTATTCCATAATATTAATCTTTGGTTTAGAAAAATGAATGCTAGGTGTTAGCTAATCAAAATAAATGGTAAAAATTATATTTATATATTAGCTAGATAAAAATATAATTTCAAAAATATTGAACAATATTTAGACACTTAAAAAATATATAATTACAACAAGTTTTGCTGAGAGAAAAGTTTCTAAAATTTATAGAAATTACTTCCTAGTTTGTATTTCAAATTAATATTTATATATTTCTTTATTTACTTTTTCTTTTCTCATAGTGATTGAGTACAGAACTACTGTGTGACTTATGTCCTGATTGCATAGCGAAATCAATATATATATATATATATATATTCCCTTTCCGACTTACGCTGACGTAATTTATGGCCAAGTTAGTGAAACAAAAAGAGCCGCAAATGTTGTTTCTGATATGATATAATTGTGTAATTCCCATTGTGAGTGTTTGTGATGTTTGCGGTTTCTACCTTAACCGCAGAAAATGCATTTGAGTGCAAAGAAAATCTGATAAATGGTAGGGTTTCCTCCTGGCGATGACACATGGCCCGGTCACACGTTGCGTATGCGTGATATCTGTGGAAATGTATGCATTTGTTATCTCTCTGGTCAGTGTCCCAGGACTTGATTAACTGCCGCGCACAGCGTCCATTGCAGGTTAGCATGTTAAGTGGTCAGCGATTTGCGGTTGTGTCTCTGTGTCCATGTCCTGCAGGTGTCCTTTAGTACCGTTTTGTGTGTGTGTGTGCCATTGTTTCGACCTCGAGGTCCTCCTAATGCGATTATCTCAATTAGAGGCGAGAATTGAAGTGCTCTCTCCTACGGGGCAGCAACTGTCCGAGGCAATTATAACAGCAATTATCTTTAATGTTTGTGACCCTTTTTGCCACTCCTGACGACCTGCACGTGTCCTGCTTTAGTTGTCGTCCTTCCTTCCGGCCTCCACCCTCACTTCTACATCTATTTTTTACGGCCCTCTGACATTGGTAAATCGGCCACACGACCCAGTCCCAAAATTGCTTTTTGCCAGCCGAAAGAACACACTCGATCCTAGCCTAGCCGGCAATTTTTTTCCCCACAGCTGGCTTTATTGCGGCATCGCCGGTATTCGGTATTCCGGAATTCGGAATTCCCCACCATTTCTTCTACGTTTTTTTTTTGTCACCCACCCGGCTCAGTCCCGAGAAGAGAGAGAAAAAAGTGGAGGAAACACAGAGGCCTTTTCGGTTTCACTGCCTTTCGGTCTTTGTTACTTTTGGCCGGCTTTTGTTGTTTCACATGTTCTTTGGAAAAACACCAAACATCAAAGGGCATTTTGGGAATAAAAATTGAGCAGGTGACTGTCAGATATCCTTCTTAAAATTGTGGAAATATTTAACTTAAAAAGGATAATAAATAATATAAAATTATAAAGTATTCTCTTCTTTTAAATAATACCTTAGAAAATTCTGAAAAATAAATAATTAAATGTTTTATCACAAGAAATAATCTATGGTTTTATTTAACAATTTTACATATTTTTAAGTATTTAGATAATATAAAAATATTTATTTTAAATTTTAATAAAGCCTTTAAAATGTTAATTTTTCAGGGAAACCCTTTCTTAGGCCTTAGATTTTCCTAAAATAAATGTTTATATTGCAAGTAAATCAGAATGGCTCTACGAGTGACTAGAACTCTCACCCATTTCCTTAGCCATTAAACAATCTAAAGTTTCGGGAAGCCACTTTATGCTGCTTTCTGAATGGTTGACCATAAATACGGCTTGGATTACAAGGCTAAAACACTGAAAGCCCAACAAAAATCTACATTGCATTTCATTTCTCCTGAAAAAAAAAACCTTTAAGCTTTTGCTTACAAAAAAGAAAAAAAGAGCATGAGTTGTGTGAACTTTGAGTGAACCGTGTGCAGTTTTTTACCCACCAAAGGTATAAACGTTTTCACATTTTTTTACACCCAAAAGGGGGATGTGAAAACACTTAAACACTTTATGGATAAAGTGCAGACAGTACACACCGTAGAGCTAATTGCACATTCAACTACCAGGAGCAATTAAAACGAATGTGTACAGGAATTAAGCGGAATGTTATTTACGGCCAAAATCAATGCCAGAAGGATAATTAGAACAGTCACGTCTAGCTGTGTGATCCTTTCAGGACAAATAGTTTCAATTAATGTTTCATTCTCCCTGAGCGACATTCGACTTAATTATTCAGAAAGCAATTTGCATGTGGAATTCGCCTTGCAATCCTTTTTTGCTTCTGTTTTTTTTATGTTTTTCCATTTTCCTTCTCTGGTTTTTGTTGGATTTCCAAGGGTGTGGAAAATCCATGTTATACTTGTAGTTGTGTTTGTCTAACTGGGCGCCGGATTGTCTGCGTCGTTTGTGTGTCGTTTTGCCATTTGCCTGTGCTTTTTCATGCCAAAAATTTCGCTTTTCCTTATTTTAAGCTTAATATTTGCCAGAGTTTTCACTGATTGAAAAGGGTATGGAAATGTGGCTTGACAGGGTGTTGATATTAATTAAGAGATGCATAAATTACGGGCATAATTAGTTAATTGTTTTACATAAATAATAATAATGATAGATAGTTATATTTTACACATTTCGAAGAAAAGCTTTTCCATATTTAATAAGTAATAACTTAACCAGCAAAATGTACATTTTTAAACAAGTAATATTCCACAAATCAAAGCTAGAAAATAAAAAAAAAATGCCCCTTTTAGAGCTCTCCCCCTGCACAGCCACATATTTCACTATATTCTTCTGGCATTCTTCCCCCAAATTTATTTAATTAAGCAGCTTAAGTATATTAACTTATGCTTGCGGCCACTTTTCCATTGTGATGCCATATGTGCCTGCCCAAGGAATTCGGTTTTACTTATAGTATATAAGACATTTAGCTTTGGATTTAGTGTTTTCTGCACGCGAAATTTTATAGAAGAGCTAGAGAGCCATGCGGTTGAAAGCATATAAAGCGAAATAGAACAAAAAAAATACAAAATAAAACATATAAAAGTCGAAGAATCTTGTTTGCGGCATGAAATGAAAACAGAAAAAAAAATATTATAATTATAATATTTCGTAGAGCAAGAGCTAGCTTTTCTCGCTCTTTGCGATTTATTTTTAGTTGACAGTTTCAAGGCTTTTGCTCTCGAGAATCTGGCAGACGGAACCCCGAAAGAAAAGCGGCAGAAAAAAAAAATAATAAAGAAATGCGACTTTTCCCCCGGACCAGGGTTGGGGTATGTGAATGTGGATGGATGTCCAGCCCGGTTTGTAACAATTTCTTCATTTCCCCTCAGCAGCCTCCGCTGTCATTTGCATATTTCTGGTGCAATTTTCGGTTTTAATGAGCATCCTGCCGCCGAGGTCCTGCAGAGGGAATACCAAAGGCAGCTTCTCTAATTGTAGGAATTCGCACAATTTGATTGCTCAATGGCCAGGTGCTGAATGCTCTCTCCGTAAAGCAACTGATTTATGCCCCAACGCGTTCGTCTTTGTTAGGTGTTTTTACACTTAGGAAAACAGGTCTTGTTTTTGTTTTAGATAAAAAAATAAAAGGAAAATACAAGAATTAATGTCATAAAATAATTTAAAGCTTGTCTCCGGCCTTAATAATTTTTATACAATTTTTATTCCAAGGAAAATATTTAAATTTTAGGCTAAAATATTTATTATAAATATAGGAATTTATTTTAAATACTCAATTTAAACTTAAATTATTAATTGAACATTCTAAATAAATATATAAAAATGTAGCTCAAATGTATATCTTTTTCTGAAATTATTTTGTTTGCTTTTTATGGTATTATGGGTATTTTTGTTGATTTCCTTAAAAGTATTAATGAATTTCTTATAACTTAAAACCCCTACAAAATTCCTGCCTGTGTAATCTCTTCTATTTTTCCATTTAATGGCCCACGCGGTTGTTTGTTAGACTGAAAATGCTGCGTTTAGGGTAAATAATCGCTGCATTGTTTCCTGCAGAGTACCACGCGACGTATACTTAATCATTTAGACATTAAGTAGCAGCGAAGGGAGAAGAAAAGGCTCAAGATCTATTTGCTGGCAGCATTTAACCCAAGGCCAAACATAAATCTACAGCCTTTTCCACCCACTCTCTATGCGTTTTTCCTTTTTAGCGGCGTATGCAAATGAATGTTCTGCAATTTGAGTTAATTAATATGCAGTTTGTGGATAAGAGAACACACATTTATTTTTGCATGTGAATAAATTTGAATGGAAGCACCTGGATATACTATATACGAATAAAGTTGTTGCTTTAGGCAGTGGAATTTACTTTGCACTTTCCTTTAGTGTTTATTCAAGGCCAAGGAATTTGGGGGGCAAAAACTTTTTAATTCACATTTGTAGACCACTTTCCTCCTTTTCCCTCCCTCTCTCTTTAATATTTTTATTATCTTTTATTAGGTTCCTGCATTTAATTAAAATGTAAATGCTGGAAGCCACTCGCCAAAACCTGGCTGTAAACAAACTTTTGGCAACAATTAAATACTCCTAATGTAGTTTTGTCGCAGAAATTAAGGCCCCAAGGCGGTGCATTTTATTAAAATTCTTGTTAAATTTCTTTGACATCGTTTAAATTTAATAAACTGTAGCAAACGTGAGTAAAAATTACAAGGAAATATATTCTAGGAAATATAAAATGGTAACTGACAGGATATACTACGTTTTCTTGGAAAATTGGCAGTTTACTAGGGAATTTCAGTCAAAGGAAACGTTTGGTTATTGCCAGGAAAAAGTGGAAAATATTTTAGCAATATGGCAAAGTGTTATAGTTTAGCAAAAATAAATTAGAAAGGCAGTAAAAGAGTAATTAAAATTTATCATAGAAATACTAGAGCACCTGTTTTTTCATTTTAAAATGAAATAAAATAAAGACTAACTTGCTTTTGTGGAAGTACAAAGGTGTCACAGGCGTGTTTGCTTATTTTCCTACAACTATTTCATTTATATTTTGCTTTAAAATATTTTTAAAATATTAAATCAAATTATTTGTTAAGCTTGTTAAATTCTGAAGTACTCCTGAACTACAAGCTGCCACTTTTCTAGCTTTGTTACAAACTTGTATAAAAAATTCAATAGCTGACAACATAATACCTTGTCTAGTCTTACAGCACTATATATTATGTATTGATAAAAGAGAAGGGTGTATGTCTGAAGTAGCTCACAGCATTGTGATAAAATTATAAAGAATTTGATAAGTGACAGCATTGTATTTTGTGTGCTGTTTGTAAGAAAAATCCTGGTTCCTTTTCAACAAAAGCATTCCCAGCATGGTGTATTTTTTCTAAGGAATTCCCCTCATGTCATAATAAAAGCCAGAAACTGAGGATGCAAAAATCGAATTGCATCTCATGGATGACTCGTCAAAGGCAGACTTTTCTCCACTTTTTCCTCCTTGAACAATAAATAAGAAAGAAAATGCCGCCACATGGAAGGTTTCCCACAGCAATAAATTAATCTTTTTAATATTCAACATGCTGGGGCTTATCGACATGGAAATCATGAGGATTCCCACACCCAAGGATGCTAATAAAAAAAGCCACTTGACATTTTGCTTTCTTAAGGCAAAACGCGTTCTTTTTTATGACACACGTTTCTTTTTGTTTTCCTTCTTTTGGGTGTGTTTTTTAATAGGCTTATTAAGACTTATTTGCTTACCTTGGGAATTTAATTTACAACTCGTGTGTGCCTGTGCGAGTTTTCCTCAAAAGATTCGCATATTCCCATTTGCATATCTGTCTCATGAGAATGTCAACAATCAATGCCAAGGGAGGTATTCTCACTACGGTTCGATGGGGTTAATTATATTGGATATGTCACACGGATGATCTACGATTCGCCACGATTCGATGAGAGTTCTTTGGCTTTCGTCGGTTTTTCCTTTATTTATTTTTGCGCGTGTGTTGTATAGAGATAATTCACCAATTTGTTTTCACGTTTCGCCTTTTCCCAAAAATTTCTTTTGGGGGAGCTTTTTATCGACGCTCACTCACACTGACCAGCAGCTAATATATTTAATATATTTATTTATAAATTAATGCGTTGCTGGCTGGCACTTGATTATACATATTTATAGGTAGAATTTTAAACACTCTGCTTAACTTATATGTATTTTATTTGATTATAAACAAAACTTGATGTTTATTTATTTAGGGAGTGAATATCATTGCACTTTCACTAACGCTCTCTCTTTATCTCGGCTCTCCCGTGCGTATGAGTGATATTTTTAAACGACCGCTGCCGCCTCGATAAACTCTTCTTCGATTCCGTTTCGAATCCGTTGAACGCTGACAGCCAACTGTGCCGCCGAATTTTCCGCCAGTTTTTCCGGTTGCCTACCATCAACAATGTGGCAGCAACAATGTTGCTTTGTCACCCAGTGAGCATGCGCCAAAGAAATGTTGCCATCGCTGTTGGTTCTTCGAGGAAATTCATTCATAAACGTTACTGCAAGCTGCATGTTGCTGCAGCACCCTCTCTTTTTTTTTTTTTTTGAGTACTTTTCGGTTGCACTTTCACTACTCACATCTATTTATAAGACCGACAAATGCCATAAGGCGAACAATCAAGTTTTATACACTCTGTAATGACCACAACGACCCAGTTTTGTGCAATTGAAGAGCCCGCAGATAGTAGTTCTCTCTCCTCGCCCCGCCGGAAATGCAGCAAAGACATTTTATGGGTCTGGATGGCTAAAGTGAAATTTACTTTCTGCGTGGGCAGCCATCGCCCGAGGAAATTAATTTAATGTTTATTGTTCAAGAAGCGGTTGGAAACTCACTTCTCCGGTGGGTCACAAGTTTTCTTGGCTTTTGTTTGCTGTCAAAATGTGTGTGTGTGTGTGGGAGTGAAGGATAAGCTTAGAGAGTTTGCCAATAAAATTCCATGTCCAAGCATGGGCTGCGGTTCAAAAGTCATTAGCGGATTTTAATTACTTTGAAGGGGAGGGAAAAGTTTAGCAAACAACTGTCGAAAGTGTCGATATAAATCAAGAAAGAAACCATCAACATTTTCTTATATTTTTCCTCCTATTTTAAATACCATTTGTATTATTTTTACTTATACTTCTTGGTGTATCAGCAGTTCTATCCCCGATGACATTATTGAACTTCAACATTCAACTCAATAAGGCTTTGAACTTTAACCTACTCTAATGGTTGGAATATGCCCTTATAAATGCATTTATCAAACTTGACAAATACGCTCTTTTTTTATGGATTTTCCAAGGATTTCCCTTTCAGCGCTTAAAGCCTTTTCACTGCTGCAAAATACTAAATTAAATTTCAAACAATTTCCACCTTCATATACATTACTTGGACATTATTATATATATTTTTTGGCTTTCCCTGGAAGCCCTCAAACTTGAGCCTGCCACCAAAGGCTCAGTTTTTTAGATTTTGGCTGAAAAGCCATAGGAAAGGCGCCGAAAATGGGTTCAGAGACAACGCTGCGGATTATGGCTCGCTGATTTATTTTCCCTTTGAATTTCCCCAGTGCTTCCTTTTTCCTGTCAGTGCGAGACAGTTGGTATATATTTTTAATATTTTCATTTCCCAATAAGACGCCTGCCTGGCTGCCTGACTGGCTGCTGCTGCTGTCTGACAGATGATGTTTCCCTTTTTTCTTCAAGACAACAATTTCGGGGATTTTCGTGGGTGGCAATGCCAATCAATTGCATGACGCGCCAAAGAGTTTTCATTTATTTTCTTGTTGTTTTCACACTTTCCCGGGAAAGTTTTCTAATAGAAACAACACTTTGCTGACCGGGGCAGAACGTAACCTTTGGGCTCAGCTTTTTCAGATTAATCACCCCGACATTTCCACTTGGCTTAACCTTTATGACCAGTCCCATTGCGGGCTCACTTGACTCGCACAATTACACAACCTGGGGGGCTGGAGAGGAAAAACCGAAAGGGAACGCCCACTGGCACACAGAAATTTATTGGCAGCTAAACACAGACCAACAAAAAAAAAAAAAGGAAACAAAAAATACAAAAAACACGGGACAAACTTTATAAGGATTCAGTGGCAGATTTACGGACGTAACAGGGGCTTAAAAGGCAAAACTCAACTATTTGTCGCTTTCAATGTAGAGAAAAATATTTTAAAGTAGTTAAAAAAATTGTTTTTAAAATTAATATAAATAATTTAATGCATTTTTCTTAAGGGGGTCTTCTCATTCAAAAGCCGTTTTTTGGACCCTTTTTAAAAAAATTCTTATTTGAAAACGCAAAGAATAATTGAAAACTTTTTTTATTTATTGTATTCAAAAATGTTCAAAGTAACTAAAAAAGTTGTTCTTGCCTCGATACGAGGGTTGTTCAAAGAGTAATGAGACTTCAAACTTGGTGGTCGAAAAAAAGGTGTCGTCCTGGCGGCCACGATTCAGGGTCTCCAGAACGTCCGAAATGAAAAATAAAAACGGGGTTATAATCAGAATAGATGTCATTTTCGGCTGACGGAACAGATTTTTTTTTTTAAATTTTTAAAACAAAATGGCGGCCATTCAAAAAAAAAAACTCGATTTCGGGCGTTTTTTTTGTAGTTTAGTGTAAAAAAAAAATAGAAAAAAAAATTTTAAAAAAAATCTGTTCCGTCAGCCGAAAATGACATCAATTCTGCGTCGATTCCATTTTGTTTCATGAAAATCGGTTCAGTTGAACTGGAGATATCATGGCCGCCAGTTCGAAAAACGTGGTTTCGAGATAAACGCGTTTGAAGTTTGAAAAAAGGCTCATTTTGCATAGATCTTGCTTCACAAAAAAGGCTGTATCTTCTAAAGTATTTCGAATTTCTAAAAATCCTTTTGGGGACATATACACACCATCCCAAGCTATAAATAAATGCAAAAAAAAAAAAAATCGAAAAAAAAAAGTTGCCCAATGAGAAGACCCCCTTAAGGTAATCACATTTTTGGGTCAGTAAAAGAAGGAATTCAGTTGTTCAAAGTGCGATTTAGTTAGATTTGAACTTAAAATTTACTTTGTTTGGTTTTTAAACCATATTAATAAATTTTTTATAAAGAAAATAAACCATTAAAATAATAAATAAAATATTTCTGGCATATTTATAACATTTTTATGTCATTTCTAAATTAATTACAGAGTCTTCATCGTATTAAACAGCCTAAATCGTTAAAGTAAATACCTTTAAAGCCTTTGCTTTTGAATATTTACTTATTCATGAAAACTCAATATAAAAGTTCAAGTACTTCTTTACTCTATAAAAATTCCATTTCCGGCCTACAGAAAAATCTCCAGCTTGACCTTGTCTAAAAATAAGAACAGTACAAGTGTCTAAAGATCACATATTTTCAATTTCTGGCTTCTGTTTTTTCTGTTTCCGAAATTGCATACCAAGATGCAGCTGTTGACTGTCTGCCTTGTTATGCATTTCCTTTTTGTTTTCTCTTTTTCCTTATTTATTTTTTTTCTGCAGCAGCAGCGGCAGGAAAGGCAAACTGAAGCTCTTGGAAATGTCGACACTTTCCGACAGCTCGTGCCAGATTCAAATTGGTTTATACTTGCACTCCCCGCAAAATTCCAACTAGAACGATGCGCTTTCGAGAACCGGAAAGTGCATAAAGAAGTAGAGATACCGGAGACAGGAAGAGAAAGAGGAGACACCGAGGAATGCCAAGTGCCATAACCATGTGCCATCCAAGATGGATAACTCGAATGCCTTGCTACGGCTTCTCCAATCTGCTGCTGTGGCTCGTGACAGGTGGCAATTGATTTAAAATTGACTTTTTAGCTATAAACTAAAATATATTGCAGTGATTGAAAAAAGTTGCTGAAATCAGCAAAGAAAATGCAAATGCAAGAAATTATATTTAAATCAATCTTGAGCCAAAAAAGGAAATTGCTTTATCCTTCACTTGGGTTACAAATTAGATTTTAAGTGATGGAGTAATGGAGGCTATTTTGAGCTTTAGTTCAAAAAGAGGTGTCAGAGATTGGATTTATTTAAACTGATTTAAAACAAAAACTTTTAGGAAAGTTAATTATTTACTTAAAACAAAAATGGACTTAAGGGGCTTAAAGTAAGTTGAGAAATGGTTAAGTTTAAACTCAGTATTGCAGGTTTTCGAGTTAAAGAAATTATGTTTTATGGCCATATAAAAAATACAGAAAAATTACCTGCTAAAAATTACATTAATATTAAGGATAACTTAAAAATCCTTGCATAAAATCGTCTTCCCTTTTAATGTATTAAAATCTATATAAACTGAAGAGTAGTTTATTGCTTGCTTCTTGACTTTACCCTCGTTTGATCGAACACCCCTTTCAACTCGATTATCAAAGGACTTTGATTCGTTTTTATTTATCCTTTTTGCATATATGTACACATATCTTGCCGCAGAGCGGTTGACTTGCCAAGTGCTCCATCATAGTCGCCACTCAGGAGTCAGGACGCAGGACTTTGGACTCCGGGCTCAGGAGTGACTCAGCCAATCCGTAGTGACCTTTCTACATGGCTGCCTTTTTTTCGGGCTGCTGGCAGCTCAAGTTGAAGGCTTGACTTGCACTTGGGTGTGAGGGTAATAAATTCAAATTGAAATCAAATAAAATAAAAACTTGGCACATCAGCGACACAAAACAAAAAAAAATAATGACTGGAAAATGGAAAGCATTCTCGAGCCGACGGCTAGCCAATAATTAAATGTAAATGTCTGACAGTAAATATATAACCATATACTGTGTTTTGTATTGTGTGGAATAAAGTGCCGACACTCATAAACAATAACCCAGCAAATAAATAACGTATTTGCCGTTATAAATCCTCCGACATGCGAGTCCGTGTCCTTTGTGTTTCGGCTGTTGCTGCTACTGCTCCTGCAAATGGCGGCCATTTGCATAAATGAGCGTCTAAGGAGCAGCTACGTCATTGTTTGCAATGCGTCTGAAAAGTTTTTCACAAGAGGAAAGGACAACGGGGCAGTGGAGGAGTTCCCATTTTTAGTTTTTATCTAGACGTCGCCATCGCCCAAGCTCCAGACATTAACACTAATATGCATAAATATGTCGCTGGGTATGTATAATTTTTATGTTTATTACATCCTCCCTCTGGCAATTTTGAATATAATAATAAGAAGGGAGCCACGGGCACTGGGCTTACCCTATTTTGTGGTATTTCGATGGATTAGTCTGAGCTGGGATCATTTTATTGTTGGACTTAACAAGTACTAAATTTTGGAAAGCTTAATTAGAGATTAAGTTCAAGTTTTTAATGGTTTATTAGTCGTCTGTATTTTTATTAGTTTTAGTTTTAAAGAGTTTTGTTATTAAACCTATTTCAAGTCCCTATTATTGAGGCTTTCATAACGACTTAAATATTTCCGAATCTGGTTCTGTTTATAGAACCATAATACCCCACTTTTTGTACAGGTAACCCAGCACCAGTTGGTGGAAAGGCTCGTGAAATGAATTCCGCAGCGGCGCTTGACCCAAAAATAACCCCGAATTGACCTGAGTGTTGATGGTTGGTCTGGTGCCGGTGCCAGTCGTGGTTGATGGCGTCGACAATGGCCAGCTGGGGCCACACGCGCCGCTCTTATCAACTGGCCAAAACGACAGTTTTATGATTTCGCCTGCTTATCAACTGCAGTGTTCCGGCAACCTTTGGTGGCTAATCAAAAAGAGCTTACTCTACCTGGTTTGTGGGCGAATCCTTAGGGAATCCAAAGCGAGAAGCCATCGCAGCTCGGAAGCAAGCGGAAGTGACTTGAGATGGCTCAGTTTACGAAGATGCGATGACAGTGTTGCTGCCTAATAACCTACATCAAAATGCGGGACAAGGTCGATGAAAGGATATTATAGAAGAAAAAGGGATACAGAAATAGGGTTTAAAAATAAATAATAAAATGTTGTTATGGAAATGAATAATCAAATCAGAGATATTTGTGAAAATTGAGTGTTGAAATTTGATTTTTTAGGGAACAGAGATTTTTTGTAGAGAAAGATGTTAGTCATTTCAGGCAGTTAATAATATATTCTTCGAGTAAGCTTATGTTAGAACCTTTAGTTATTTATTTATATTTATTTTATTAATTATTCCATTTATTTTCAAATAAATATCTATATATTTGCCATCACTGCCTGGCATCGTGTCCTTTGACGACCACCGCCGCGTTGGCCATAAATCAGCCGCAAGTTTTGACGGAAATTTAAGACATCAAGAGCCAAGAGCGCGCAACGGGAATGCTATACAATCTCAAAAGGGTTTCCGGCGGAGGAAAACTTGGCTGAAAAGAGCTGGGAAACTTAAGCTGCAGACCCCAAACGATGGTCCAGGGGATTTTATATGGAATTTAGGTTTATGAAACTGCAATTACCGGAAGTGGTCCATAACAATTACAATAATGATTAGTTCAGGGAGCTTTCTTTTATTATTTTATGGAAAGATTTCCGTTGGTATTTAGGAGCTTTTAAAACGACTTAATTTTAAGTCATTTTTTTGAAACATTCAAAACAGTTAAAGGAATTCCAAATCTATCAAAATTCAAGTCCCAAATGCAACAAAAATATTTCAAGTAACTGGGTTAAGCTCTCACCAGGTATTTTTCCCCTAAATAAAAGCAAATCAATAATTCATAAACCTTTAATAATCCAAAATGTATGCACATAAATAAATAAAGTTCAAGTTGAGGGCAAAAGTTAAGCGTTTTGACCACAAAAAAAACAACTCGTACTTTGTTTTGCTTTTGGACTGCTAGCCTTGTTTACCTTTGTCTGGGCCAACGGGGCGTATGAGTGCGTTGGCTGTGATTTAAATGGCAGACAACAGAGCTCAGGACCTGCAGGACCAAGGCCATTTTCAAGCTGAGCAATCAGCACCTACATATATAACCTACTACTGAATACAGACACTGAGTCACCCAGTGGGGGGAAGTGGGCGTTGTTGCTGTTTTTGATCCTTTTTCTGGCTCTGAATTTGGCCTTCCGCCTCCCCCCGAGTTGTTGGCTCTGCCGAAAAATGGCAAACGGATGTTGCGCGCAACGAGCCGAGTCATGACATTTGCATAACAAATTCCATTTAAGGCCCCGCTCGATTCACCCACCCATCCTCCTTGCCACATTGGACATGTTTATTTTAGATCATTTCATTCTATGCCTCGCTCGCTCCATCATAATAACGTGTCACAAATACTGAGAATTCAGATATTCGGTCTTCATTATTCAATCATTTGTAGCATCAGCCGCCTGTGTGTGAATTTATTGGGGCTTTAAAACCCAAAACGGGGGAATTTTCCGGACAGGTTTGAGGTAAAGAATCAATGGGAAAGCGGAGTTTCTGGGGAGGCGGAGTTATTAAATCAAATCAACGGTACATTAGTCTGCGCCACGCCCACGAGTTTGGTGGCATTTTCCGAATACCAACAGTGGGCGGAAAAATGTCACACATAAAATTGGTAAATGTGTGGGAATTTGAGGAAGACACAAGGGAAATAAATATTAAAATAACGAAAATAAACTTCAGCAAATGTGGCTATTAATATATTTCTTTGTAAGAAATATCAAAGAAAATAATTTAAATCTTTAGAAGTAAGTTATTTAAATAAATCTTACACTCAAATAGTTTTCTTGAATTATTTTAAAGTTGCAAGAAAATGGAAATTGTCAGTGTGTTTCATCTGCCTTTTAGAGTTATGAAAAGCTAACATAAATATTTTAAACCCAATTAAACTACTTAAAACCCTTCAAAATAAAGCCAATTTCCAAGATATTTCCATAATTTTTCCCATTGCACCCACTGTGCCACCTCCATCAACCATCGAATGAACATCTACGTAAATAATTCAACATAATTTGTCAGCCACGCGAGTGCGGCCCGACTTTGAAGTCCCTGCCTCTGCCGCCGCTTCCAACCTGCCCTGGCATATGAAATCGACTAAGTCGGCTGTAATTTGTTTATTTCCTAGAGGTGATACAATCTCAGGGGCTCAGTGGAGGCCGGATGGACTGTGAAATGCCGCTGGCCGGGCCTCCTGTCTGTATACGTGACGGTGACGGCAGGGAAAAAGGCTTTGGGACCCGGGCGCCGAGATTTAAATTCAATTAACTGCGAAAAGGCTCAGGTGCGCACGCACACGTGCGATCCGGTGACATTTTTTCAGCAGCCCCTCCTCTAGCAAAACGTGACCTAATCCTTGCGCAGGACACTCGCTGTCTCCAGGGGTTTTTCGGTTGAAATGCAACGCAAATCCTCGATCTTGGCCAGGATTTCTATTTTTAGCTGCTCAAACGGACGGAGCAGGCGAACGGGAACACTCTCATCGCGTCCCTGGAAAAGAGTTTCGCCATTAAATTCCACGAAACCATTTTTCCGGGCAGCCAACATGGTGCCCATCAGTTTGTCGGATATATCGTTGTAGAGATTGAAAAGATGCCCAAATTCCAGTCTTCTGAGACTGGGATCAATGGGATCGGGCTCGCCATTATCTTGTATCACTTCGCACAGCTGCAGGATCTGCTCCAGGGCCCGGACATTGGCCTGCAGGACCCTCTGCTCGGAGAGACTGCCCGCCGGCGGCTTGCCATATTCCTCTTGGCCAAAACTCCGCTTGGGCATGTCACTGACATTGTAATGGGCAAAGGGATTAATCATCATCCAGTTTTTATGCTGCTCGGCTGCCTGATTGAAAAGTGTGATGCGTGACGAGACCGATGTGTTCTGCAGGGGTCAATTCGGGGGGTTAAAGGTTGTGGTAATAACGTGGCTAACTTACCTCCTGGTTACTAGCCATATTTGGAATATTGCTGGAATTTTGAAGAGTTGTTTTGTCGAAAATGAAAACAATGATTGATAACGCACACGGGGCGGGGTTTGATGTGTGGGTAAACAAAATGTGTCAATTCTTTGGCCAACTTTGTTACTAGTTTTATTTGATTTTGTATTTATTTATGTATTAATAAAAAAATATATTTTTGGTTAAAAATATATCAAAAAATTCTCATTAAAATATTTATAAAATAAATACATAAACTTACCAAGGTTATTTACTAAAAATAAATACAAATTAATGTAATTAAAAATTTAAAAATTAGTCCCAGGTATCCTTTTGCTCCTTATAATGTGTATTTACTTGTTTAACTCATTTTCCCCTGCTCATTTAAGCTGTTTACCGATGCAATCAATGTATCCTTTAACCGAATGCCACTGTCATCGCCACGTGCAGGCAAACACATCGAAAATACGCACCTCATTAGGGACCTGTGTCGTTCCAAAAAACCGCACCAAAGGCGCGAATTTGCCCAGGGATAATCAATCAGAGTGTCGCTTAAAATACACCCAGGTCCTTCCCCAGTATAAAATCCCATTTATTCCATAGAGCTTTAAGCTAGAAGGAAGCCACAGGCTGCGGCAATGGCAGTAACTGTAACTGTAACTGGAAGTGTAAGTGTAACTGTGGCAGCCATGTGGCAAATGCGGCGGAAACAGCTCGCAAACTAGCTCCATAAATTTAAGCCTCGAATGGCGCGCAAGTCACCGGAAGTATTTGGAGCTCAGTTCAGCCGGAAATACAAAACAAATTTCCCAGAGAGAGAGGGAGATAGGGAAAACGAAAAAGACCGAGTAGAGTAGGGGAAAAAATGAGAAGCGAGAAGAAATTAATGAAACAAAACGAGAAATTGAATGCCAGAAGATAATACTAAAGCAAAGCTCAAGTCGAGACTTAGATATGCTATTTAATTAAATAAACCAACTGAATTTTAATCGGAAATTAAATTTTTAAATTTTAACTATTTTTTATGACTTGTACTTGGTATTTTACTATTTAATCTACTTAAGTAACATTTTCTATGACTTAAAGTATTTTTTTAGAAAGAATTTTTAAAGCATAAAAGCATTTTTAAAATATTTAATACCCAACTTATGTTATATTTACCAATAAAATAAATTTTATTATTAATTTAATCCTTAAACCCACTCTTAAATTATTTATTTATATTTTTTTCCAGGCAAATATTCTTAAATTTATTTTCCTTAAAGCATTCTCCCCCAAATGTAAGCCTGAAATCAAACCAATAAAATCTATAATATACTTTGCCTCCAATTAAATGCTGTCACACAATCTGCCAATCCAATTATTTTGCTTCTGTTGGAGATAAACCAATAGTTCCACTAAATGAGCATTAAGTTAAATCACGCTTTGAGCAAGGACTTGCGGGTCCTCGAAGGGTATCAAAACTGTATTCCGGCGGTTTTTCTGTTTCTGTTTCTTTTGTTTCTTTTTTTTCTGCTGCGACGGGGGAGTGCAGAGAGGACACGAAGCAAAACAGACAAATGGCAAAATGGCGCCACTTCCACATCCGTTAAGCAATAAACATTAATGCGCAATTAATGCTGGTGTCAGACTCTGACTTTGGTCGTTGGTTTTGGTTTTTCCCCCCAGGTTTTTCCTGCTGCTGCTGTCCTGCTGTCTGTTGTTGATTTCCACCACTTGCTGTGATTAACGTTTGGCGCCTCGTCTTAGCCTTTAGTTATTTATGGCGCGGCATGACAAATGAAATCAAGTGGGCAGAGGGCAAACTCCATGCAAAGCAGCTTACATTTGGTTACAGTCCAGAACACTTACTTCCTTTGAAGTCTGCCAGAGTCCTGACAGTATTTACTCGCCCACTAGCTCTCCATCTGATGAAGTATCTAAAGAAATGTTTGTCGAAAAGCTTAGAGAGCAGAGATACTTGGAGATGGCAGGGTCAATGAGAAGTTTAATTAGTTTTTAAACTCTTCTTAGAAAATATTTTTACTTTTTCAAGACCTTGAAAATGTTTTAAATTTAATTTCTATTTAAGAAATATTTTAATTTATTTTCTACACATTTTTGTTTGTTTTTTAAATATTTTCCTAGTTTATATCGAAGAGGTTTCCTTGATCAATATTTTTTTTTTGCATGTGTAACTAAGCTTTGCCAGCTGTTAGAGTACTAAAGTGGCCTCTTTTTTCCTCCTTTTGCAGTTTTCTCAGCTGCATTTTCAGTTCAATGGAAATTTTCTTCTCTGGCAGCTGCCTGCCTTCTGAGACAACTGCCACTTAAGATCCGACAATGTCTGCATATGGCCCCCAGAATTTATGGCTTGTTTGTATTGTCCTCCAACCCCTCAAGCACCTCCCTCCCCCCTTTGGTAAATCCCCGACGCATTATTCAATTTTGGGTTCTGGCTGTAATGTAAAACAATTTTCCGCAAATGCAGCAGCAGCACAAGAGAAAGGAGAAAAAAAGGAGCGGAAAGCAATGGAAAACTGTCTCGCCTCAGTGAATTTTATGTGTGGCACGTTCGGCAATAAATTTGTCGGGTTGAGGCGAAGAGCTCGTATTGGATTTACAAATTGCTGCTTAATACTTTGCCATTTTCATTGAGCGCGGTACCGAAAATTTATGTGGTCTGTGCGGTTAACACCTGTTTTTTTGGCTGTAATTTGATGAAAATCCTGGCTAATGTCCTTGACTTCTAATACTATATCCCTTAACCCTTTACATTGTTCTTTTCGGACTCTTGGCCGCCTGTAAAATTTGCATCATTTATAACTTTTGCCCAGAAAGAAAACGACAAAGCGATTTATTTTCAGTCGTCTGTCTCTGCTGCTTCAGTCAAATTTTGATAAATGAACGCAGTTTGTTCCAGATTTTCCTTTGCATATGAAACAAAACGGAGGGAAAGGGACATCTGTCCATTGCATTTTTTCAGCTTCATTTGGCTGATTCGAAGGTTTGGTTTATGGTTTTTTGGCCTAGTCGGGCGGCTGTCATAATCAGAGAGCTTAATATCAGCGATGTGCACTGAACAGGCAGCGTGAAATCAAATCAACGTTTCGCAGGACAACAGACAGCTGATGACCCTTCAAAGAACCAAAGAAAAAAATCTATAGAAAGAAAGACAAAAACCAATACCAAATAAACCGAAACTGTGATCACAAAAAATTAGCCAAGTCAACATGCGGTGGGTAAAACGGGGAGAAAAGCGTTTTGCCAACGTCAGTCAGTCAGTGTTGGCAAATGCCACAATGTTTTTATGACCTTTTGTAGCTCCTTCTTCTATTTTTTTCAAAAAATTCTACCAAAAGCATGCAACAGCCGGTGCCATGATGTGTGACTTTGCAAGTGATGCACTGAGAAAAATATTACTTTAAATACCAAAAATTTTAAATTGAAAATGTTATAAGAAAAATGAATCGTTTTGATTTATTTATTTTTTGTTGTAATTTATAAAGCTTATATAACTTAAGATAATTTTTATTTTACTTTAAACATATTTTTTAATGATTTATGTTTATTTTTATATTTTATAAATATTTTTATAATATCCCTATATATTTTTTCCTTAAAATTTTCTTGCTCTGTCTAGTGCGTGTGTATTTTAGGGAGCATGAAAAATTGCTGGGCTGTCCCATTGATTTGATTGACACTTTTATTGACACAGTGTTGTTGCCTTTGCTGTTGTTGTTGTTGTTGTTGTTGCTGGCAAGGGTTTTATGACCTGGCAATGAACGCGAAAGCCTTTAAGCCAATCGACGGCATTCAATGGGGACTTGTATTTGGTGTAGTTTGCAGCTTTTGTAACACTTGAACGGTAAAACCCATCCATACTCGAAAATCATATTTTTTATGGGCCATTCGAACTTGATTTTTTAATACTTTACATCAATACGAATTAGGGAAAAGTCATAAAAAACAGGCACACAAATATTATTGCGAACTGAATTGGCTTAGAATTATTTTTTATGATTTTTTAGAAGAGGTTTTAGTGCCTTTAAATTAATTCCTGGTATTTACTTTTAACTTTAAAATATTCTCTTCAATTTAAAATTCAATTATAGAGAATAAAATTTATTTTAATTAAATTTCTTGTATTAAGTTAATATATTTGTGGTTTTCCGTTTAATAATTACATTTTAATGCCACAATCAAAGTATAAAATTAATTAATGAACCCAGCATTTGCTTATCACACTCTTGCGTTTCAGTTAATCGCAGTTCAGATTTTTAGCTGATATTAAATACAGTGCCTTGGCTATGTTTGCACCCCCCACTAATAATAATCCCACCAGCTAGCTAGGAAAATGACGGGGTCGCCATGAATTTTCATGGCCGCAACTTGGCTTTTTTATGCGTCGTGCCACCGGAACAATGGCGTCGGACCTAGGGCAGCAGAAAAAGTGGCCGTAAAATATGACATTTGCTAGCCTTTTGTTTGCATTAAAACCCACGAATCTTTATGGTGTATAATCCGGAGGAGGGAGGGTGAAATCGGATTCAGCAGGGCAATCGCTCGGCCCGGCAATTAATCAGGCTTCATTTGCACTTAATCGCGGGGCCATGATTTTGCACGCAACTGCGGCCCCAATCATGTGGCCATTACATTCCATTATATCAGGCTCCAGCACTTATTCAATTTAATTTTCATTAGCCGCATGCGGTCATCGACGACCAGGCGGGAAATTATTTTTGGCACTCCTCAGGACGTTGGCAAATAGAAAATAAAAACTCATTTTAATATGCGTAGCCTGGCAACACGACGACGACCGTTTGCCCTCGCCATTTGTGGCCCGTTCAGGACCAGCACAGCCCCTACTCCCGCGGACTTAATTACATATTTAAATTCCAACTGTGCCGTCTCTCAATAACGGAAAAATAAGAGCGAAACATGGCGTAGGAGAACATAGCAAAAAAATTCAAATCGCAAGCCGTAGTTATGAGATACCATAAACAACATGGCGACAAAGGCAACTAAATGGTAAGTTCTTTTATGCTGGAATTAGGAAATACCCTAAGATACTTATGTTTGTTTTGTTAAGAATTAATTTTCATCAATATTTTAATTATATTTAAATAGAAGAAGCTTATAAGAAGT